CAAGCCAATGAATTAAAATTGTTCTTATGTCCCAAATCTTGACTGCTCATGAAACACAAAACTGATTTATGCTTGTATTTGCCGTTCAAAAGTTGGCTTTAGTCGGCTTCATGTTTTGTTTCCTTTTGTTTTTCCTTCAGTTGGCTTATTAAATTGCAAAGATTTTTATGCTCAATTATTTCGTTGATCAACCGTAAGTAAGGTCAATTTGTTGGCTAAAAACTGCAAAAAAAAGAAAAAAAAATGCATAAATTTATCGTATTCTTCAAATATCAAACTTTTCTGAAACTTATTACCTCTGTTTATCTGCTTGATCAGCGTTGTTTAAGAAGGTAACACTTACAAGAGATAATTCTTTTTTTTTAATTTGTCTATCAAAATTAAACATTTATATTTTGTGCATATAAAAAAGTCTTTTTTCTTTTTGTCAATAATAATTCTTGAAATTATATGCGTAAAGTTTTAATTTAAATTTTGCTTTTCTGTTCATTAGGAACAAAAAAACTTAGATGACTGAGAAAGGCTGAAGTTGAAATAAACTTTAAATTGGTGTTATAACAAGCAAAATTTTTGGTTTTTTTTTTTTAAAATGCTTCTTCTTGTTTTCTTCTTCAGACAGAAAGTGGCTTTTTTTTCCGTTTTTTTTTTTTAATTGAGACTTTTTTGATTTGTTTTTTGAGAGCAAAAAGGAAAAATTAGGCAAAAAAAAAATCTGGTAAAAAAAACCTGATAAATACAAATGCTTATTTCGGTGAAACGTTAAGAATATTCAGCCAAAATTCCAATTTTTTTTTATTGGAGAGCTCTAGAAGAGATGAATATATACTTGCTCACTTTTTTTTCTACCAAAATACATGCATGTTTAAAAAAAAAATCTCTTTTTTTTGTGCATTATTTGTTGTTAGTCAATGTCAAAACAAAAAAAAATTGACAGAAAAAAAATATCAGCAATCTTTTTTGATAAAAAATTTAATAACAAGAAAAAAAAGTAAACAAAAAAAAAAACTTTTGGACAAAAACATTGTCGAGAAATGAGGGGAGAAGAAAGAGAGGTGAAAAAAAAAATAGACTTATGCTAATGAAACTAAAAGATATGACATTTTAAAGATTTATTTTTTTATTTTATTTTTATTACTTTTTTTTTTTCTGAAGCTTTTTTTTGACAGTTCAATAAACCCAATAAAAAAGTTTTTAAACAAATATATTAAATTGACGTTTAAAAACTTTTCTCAAATTATAATAAATACTGAACAACAGCTAACTTTTTTTTGCTCTACATTTTTACCTTACTTAAATCTGCTTAATATTTATTTAATTTCTCAGTTAAGAAAATACTTTTTTTTTTTCATTTTTGCACTGTTACTAAAATCTTTTGTTTGGTAAATTAAGTTTTTTTTTTGAGTGTAACACTGTAACGGAATATGCAAATTAACCGATACTGCTACAGAGTGCAGTAATCATTCGTTGATAGATACTGCTTAACAGCTGTGCTGTTGTCAACTCCTATATTTTGGAATTGACATTAATGTCTTAATAAAAAGAATAAAGTCTACTATTTAATGTTTTTTTTTATGGTTCTGCTAAATTACTACTTTATTTGTGCTATACTTATCGCCTGAACAATAGTTAATCTGTTTAAAAATTGTATTCCACTGACAATTCAAAGTGATACATCAACACGATTGCCATTACAGTAAACCCATTGACCAATACGTTGTAATATATCGTATATACGGCAGCTGCAAACTTTAGTCGACTCCGTTGCCTTTGCTGTATCCATTGCTGTTGTCGATGCTGGTCTCAGTTTTTTTTGTTGAAGAACTTTTGCTGAGGTACTAATTTTTTTGAAAAATGTCAATGGTTAGACAATTTCTTTTTGTTGTCTTTATTTCAGAAAAAAAAATAAGAAACTTGCTAATAAAACTTGGTATTTTCTTTCTTTCTTTTTCTCTTCTTCTTCTTCTTCTTCTTCTCCTTCTTCTACTATCAGTCCCTTTATAGACAGCTTAGATTTCATACAATTTGACCAACACTGACAGCCAATAAATAAATATTGCTGATAACAAAAGAAAGCATGTAACATTTTAGTTCTTTCATTTTTTTTTTTCAGTCTATTTAAACAGTTTTAGAATATTTAGTTGAAAATGAAGAAGAAGAAAAAGCAACGAGAGACAAAAGAAAGTCAATTTTGAATTTTAAAACAAAACAAATTGCTTGTACCTTTAAAGTTAACAATTATATTGTCTAATTGTTCTTCTTTGTCAACTTAGTCTGATTGGAATTGTTGTTGAACCGTTTACTCCGATGACATCAGTTAATTTTAAGCGTAAAAAAAGAAAAGAAACGAGAAAAACATCAAACAACATTTTTAGATAAAATCGCAAATAGCAAAACATAAAACAAAAGTGCTAATTTGTTTGAAACAAAAACTAAAAGCTTATCTTAGCGTTTAGTAATGAAAAAAAGGTTATAGAAAAGGTTATAGGAAAGTCTTTTTACATCATTTTTTTTTTTTTTGCATGCATCATTCAAATTTTTTGTCATTGATCAAACACCAAAAAAAAAAAAAAGTAAATAAATAAATGAAAGAAAAGAAAAATAATAATTTAACTAATTTGAACAAATTTGGATTTTTTTTTTCTTGTTTTTCATTATTAAACAAAAAGGTTTCAAAGTTATTGCAGAATAGAAAGCTATTTCTTTAGGGTCAATCAATTTCTACATTATTTCAGAAGTTTTCTTTTTTTTCTGGTAATATCAGATATTGTTGAATAGTTTTCCACAGTTTACAGCTTTTATCATTGAATTTTCAAGGCTGTCTTTTGCCAGGAACCAAGTGAAAGAAAGCAACAGAAACAGTATTTGTCATTTTTATTACAATATGTTGCCAAAAAAAAAATGCTCAATTTTTTAAGCTTTTCCCCTTTTTTTTCCTTATCTTTTTCTTTTTTTTTTTTTCTATTTTTCATCAAAATAAAACGATTAATGTATATAGGATGACGATAAATGATGCGCGTTTTTCTTGTTGATGTGTGAAGAGATGTGTATATCTCTATAAGGTGGCTGTGTAAAAAGGAGAAAAATCTGTGGATGACAAAATTTGTATCAGAGAGAAATGATGCGATATTTGGGTGTGTAAAAAAGATGTAAAAAACTGTTATCTTCATTTATACCATAAACTGTTTATTCAATTTCAATAGATTAGTATATCCGTTGGTGAAAAAAAAAAAAACTGAGCTTTCCATTCTTTTTTTTTTTTCCATCTTACAATCACTGATCACTCATATTGAACAGAAGTACAGTTGAAGAACTGCTTAATGCGTGTAAAACTATTAATAAGTAACTAAGTACTTCTTCTTTTTTTGAATCTTTTTTTTATCAATTCTAAAAATTGTCTGAAAACTTTACTGTTGCTGTTGCAGCTAAAAAAAAAAAGAGAAAAAGTTAAGAAGTCTTTAAAAGTAAGAAAAAAAAAATTGAACTTTTTCTCCTAAATTTTTTCCATCTTTTTTCCTTTTTTTTTTTCTGCTATTATTTCTTTTAAAATTTCTATTGCTGCTGCCGCTGCTGTTGTTGGCTGTTTTGCAATCACTAAAAAAAGCAAAAAAGCAAAAAAGCAAAAAAAAGAAAGATCATCTTTAGATACTAAAAGACAAAAAAAGGAGAAGAAAAAATATGCTAATATAGTTGCTAAAAATGTTCAGTTTCAAACTTAGCACTATAAAAGAGCAAAAAAGAGAAAAAAAAAAAGTGAAAGATAGAGGAGAAAAAAAAAAATT